TTGATTTTTTTTTAAAAAATACAACAAGATTTCATGTATTTAAGGTTCATGTTCGAGTTTGAGACTTCAATCGAGTTAAGTTTAAGATTTTTTTTCATTTCGAGCCTTTTCGAGCTGCTCACGAGCTTCAGTTCAGGATTTTAAGTTCGAGTCGAGCTTGAAAATTTTAAGCTCGAAAGTTTTCGAGTCGAGCTCTATTTCAGAATTTTCAAGAAGAGTTTAACTCAGCAATACTCAAACTCGACTCGACTCTTTTACACCCCTACTTAGAACCCTCCTTCGGAGTATGTGAACAGGACAATCCAGTGTTTATTGTGATGGTTATATAATACAAATATAATAATCGTAAAAATGACATGTTAATATTATTATTAAATTTTTAACGATATATAATTAAAATGTAATATTAAATATGATTTTAAAAAATAATAGTTAAATGAATAAAATTTAAATTAAATATGTAATTTATCTTAAAATTTATAATAATATGAATGAAACACAATATAATAAGAAAATAATAAAGAACTCAAAGTTGGATACTTCATTCAGGCTTGAACTCGGGTTGATCTCAAGTTCGATTCTTTTCAAGATTAGATTATTATAGATTCAAAATTTTGGACATTTTTAGCATTAATTTTTTTAATAAAAAAATCACTCTCTATTTCCCGTTATTTAATTTTATTTTTACAAGGGAAAAGGCATATCATTCCAGTTTTAACTTCTCTGTCTGTCTGTCTATCTCTCCTTCTTTTCTCCGGCGGCGACTCTCACCGGGAATCTACCGGCGATTGTTCAGTTAGCATTGTTTTTTTCTCAGTTCACAAGCTCCATTCCTCTTGTTTCTAACTTAATAAAAAAGTCTTAGCATTTTTTTGACGTTCATTCCTGATTTTTCTTGTGGATTCTGTTTGTTTTCCCTGTAATTCACTTTCCCCAAAGGATCTCTTTGCTTCAAGCTTAACTTCTCAAGTGTCTGTAGCTTTTGTTCGGAGCTAAGTGGGAAAGAAAATGGAGTTTTTGAAATGCTGGAGTAGATGAAGATGAAAAAAAGCTGTCGACTTTTGTCTTGTTTTCGGTTGTTCTTTTAGCTGTTGCTTCTTTTGAAGTGAGATCTTTAATCCTAATCCCATCAATAAACGATGATGTTTTGGGGCTAATAGTTTTTAAAGCAGACATTCAAGATCCCACCCAGAAGATTTCATCTTGGAACGAAGACGACGACACTCCCTGTAACTGGAACGGTGTCAAGTGTAACCCCAGGTTGAACCGGGTCACTGAGCTCACCCTCGACGGGTTGTCTCTCTCGGGTCGGATCGGGCGCGGCCTTTTGAGGCTCGAGTTCTTGAGGAAGCTTTCCTTAGCCAAGAACAACCTGAGTGGAACCGTAAGCCCCAGTTTGGCAAAGCTTGAAAGCCTCAGAAGCATTGACTTGAGTGAGAATTCTCTTTCTGGATTTATCCCTGATGATTTCTTTAAACAATGTGGGTCTTTGAGGTCTGTTTCTTTAGCTAATAACATGTTTTCCGGTAAGATTCCTAGGAGTTTAGGTCTTGTGCTACACTTGCTGCTATCGATTTGTCTAGGAATCGGTTTTCGGGGTCATTGCCTGTTGGATTTGGGGTTTGAGTGGTTTAAGGTCATTGGATTTGTCTGGTAACATGTTGGAAGGAGAGATATCGAGAGGGGTTCGAGCTTTGAATAATTTAAGATCCATCAATTTGAGTAAAAACAAGTTCTCTGGGCAGGTTCCTGATGAGATTGGGAGTTGTTTGCTGTTGAGATCCATCGATTTGAGCTCGAATTCGTTCTCTGGGTCGGTACCTCAAACAATGCAGAAGCTCAGCTTGTGTAGATATATGAATTTGAGTGGGAATTCATTTGTTGGTGAGGTTCCTGAATGGATTGGAGAAATGGAATGTCTCGAGACTTTGGATTTTTCAATGAATAAATTTTCTGGTCAGGTACCTGATTCTATAGGAAAACTTAAATCCTTGAAGGTGTTGAATTTCTCTGCTAATGGTTTAAATGGAAGCTTACCTGCATCGATGGAGAACAATGTGAATCTTTTGGCATTGGATTTTAGCAACAACTCGATGAATAGTGATCTTCCTCGATGGAATTTTAATTCAGAGAATAAGACTGGTGCAAATGTGGATAATGCCAGTTCAACCTTATTAGGAGCCTCTCTTCAAAGAATTCAAGTCTTGGATTTATCCCTGAATTCATTTTCTGGGGAATTACATTTCGATATCGGGGCTTTAAGCAGCTTGAAGTTGTTGAATCTGTCATGGAACTCTCTCATTGGACCTGTTCCAGGAACAATTGGAGAGTTGAAGGCATTGGATGTTCTTGACTTGAGTCGAAATCAGCTTAATGGAAGCATTCCTACGGAAATTGGAGGAGCTTACTCCCTGAAGGTTCTTAGGCTCAATGCCAATATCCTCGAGGGAAAAATTCCTACATCGATTCAGAACTGCACTTTGCTAAGGACTTTGTAAGTTTCTCTTTCAGTATAATTTGTGCTTCTTAACTTCTAATAAGCCTGCTGTTGGCGTTGATTCACATTAATTAGCCTGTTGTAAGCCTGTTGTTTCCTTGATATCTTAAATTCTAAGATACGATTTTGATGGGTGAATTTTAATCTATTTGCTCAAAGGTTGTATGAGTTCGGCTAATTTATTGAAAAAGTTACTTTAAATTTGAAACCTCTTCATGTCATCTTTTAGATTATCTGCTGCATTTGTGTAGATGTTTGATGTGGAAAACTGGTTATTGTTTAAGCCTTTTTCTGTGTTGAAAATTTGCTTGCTTCATGATATCTGCCGGTTAAGTTGAAATTTAACAATTGTTGGACTTCTTTTCGATATTTAATTGTGTAGGATCATCTCACAAAACAAGCTGAGTGGCTCAATACCTGCCGAAATCGGAAAACTGAGCAGCCTAGAAAACGTGGACTTGTCTTTCAACAGTCTTACGGGATCGTTGCCAAAGCAGTTGGCCAATCTTCCACGTCTCTCATCTTTCAACATTTCCCACAACAATTTACAAGGAGAGCTACCTGCTGGTATATTTTTCAACACCATATCACCGACGGCTGTCTCTGACAATCCCTTACTCTGCGGCTCCATGGTTAACAAGTCTTGCCCTGCAGTTCTCCCAAAACCCATTGTCCTAAACCCTAACACCACTGCTGATTCCATTTCTGGTGAATTACCTCCGAATGTCAGTCATAAAAGGATAGTTCTTAGTATCTCTTCCCTCATTGCTATTGGTGCAGCTGCTTTCATTGTTGTTGGAGTCATTGCCATTACTGTTCTTAACCTCCGTGTCAAGTCATCTACATCGCGGTCCGCAGCACCTCTCACATTTTCTGCCGGGGACGCGTTTAGCCGTTCGCCTACCACAGATGCCAACTCTGGGAAACTTGTCATGTTCTCTGGGAGCCCGACTTTAGCACAGGAGCACATGCTTTGCTCAACAAGGACTGTGAGCTTGGGCGTGGTGGGTTCGGAGCAGTTTACCGAAAAGTTTTGGAAGATGGGCGCTCCGTGGCAATCAAGAAACTCACTGTCTCAAGTCTTGTGAAGTCACAAGAAGAATTCGAAAGGGAAGTTAAGAAACTAGGGAAAATAAGTCACCCTAATCTCGTGGCGCTCGAGGGCTATTACTGGACTCCGTCACTGCAGCTTCTCATTTCTGAATTCGTGTCGGGTGGAAGTCTGCATAAACATCTCCATGAAGGATCAGGCGGAAATCACCTTTCTTGGCACGACAGATTCCGTCTCATTCTAGGGACAGCGAAAAGCTTGGATCACTTGCACCAATCAAACATTATTCACTACAATATAAAGTCAAGTAACGTCCTCATAGATGCTTCGGGTGAACCTAAATTGGGAGATTTTGGCCTAGCAAGGTTGCTGCCGATGCTAGACCGTTACGTTTTAAGCAGCAAAATCCAAAGTGCACTTGGCTACATGGCACCTGAGTTTGCCTGCCGAACAGTGAAGATTACCGAGAAATGCGATGTGTATGGATTCGGCGTTTGGTCATGGAAGTGGTTACCGGGAAGAGGCCTGTTGAGTACATGGAGGACGACGTGGTGGTGCTTTGTGACATGGTCCGAGAGCGTTGGATGAAGGCAGGGTGGAGGAATGTGTTGACGTGAGGCTGCAAGGGAAATTCTCGGCAGAGGAAGCGATCCTGGTGATGAAACTTGGCTTGATCTGCACGTCACAAGTACCATCGAACCGACCGGATATGGGAGAGGTAGTTAAGATATTGGAATTGATCAGATGTCCTTCGGAAGGCCAAGAAGATTCGGGATGAGTTTAACTAAAACCTTAAGAAATTGAATGATTCATGAGAGGTTATCCGGCGAAGAAGAATCCGGTTTGTCGTCATCGGTTTTCAGTTTACATATGTAATTTCTTCTGTATGTTATAGTTCGGTTTGCCGGATTCCTCTTCACCGGACTCCATTTCCGGGAACCCTTTGGATACTGTAACCTACTTACTAATCTGCGCTGTTCTGCAATATTTTCTTCGGTGGCATTCCACTGTTACAATCAACTTAATTGTTAGCATTAAGTTATTATATAATGTATTTTCAGATTCATGTGTTGTGTGATATTTATCTAATTAAAAAGATCATTAAATTATTTTTTTTCCGATTAAACTCATTGAAAACTCATTAGATCCTAATTAAAATTAAAAGTAATTTTTTTTTATCTGTTACTATCAACTATCAAATCAACTTAAAATTAAACTCTATTAATCTTATGATCAAACTAACAATATTGGTTATAATAAAAAAAATTAATAATTTAATAAAATTAAAACACAAATTTTATAAAATTTAGCTATCAAAGTGAAATGCAAAATAATTTACCACAAATTATTCGTTAAATTTCGATTTAGAGATTCGATAAAATAAACACGACACAAATGCAAGCCCGCGAGACAGATATATTCCCAAGTGGTGAATCTTAATAATCTTTATATTTCAGAAAATAGGAACAAGAGAAGAGAAATTACGAAGTTCCATTTTGTGTTCATTATAAATACAGAAGCAAGAAAGGAATACAAAGGAAGACGAGGAGAGTGATGAATCCAACTGATCCACCACGGGCCATGGATTGTTCAATAATCCCAGTATTTCAGGTGGGTTTCCCTCGTTCTCACTTTAAAGTTACATATCTATTACTTGAATCATTGGTGATTTTGTTGGTAGTTCAGTTGTTTCTTGAAAAGAAATTAATTTTGATCTGGGTTTTAGATTGTACGTATGGGTTTTCATTTACAAATTTTAAATTGTTTGCAATAAATAAATTCATTTACATTTTTGTTGTATATACTTTCTGGGGTTTTTTGCTGTAATTTTCCTTTGAATATAATTGGTTTCTTTTAGGTCCCAAATGAAGGGGATGTATCAATCTTAGATGTAAATGATGAGAGAATGTTGTGTCAGATGGGAAGAGGAAAAAAAAAAAAGAAGCAGAGTTCTGCTCCTCGTCCTGCATGTTCTTGGGTATATTTTAGGTAGAATTTGGTTCATTTCAATGGGAATTTTCATAAGCAATTTTTTGTTTTCGGGTTATTTAAGTATAGTGCTTCTCATCCTGAATCCTCAGGCCTTAAAGCTGAGTACTTTTGGTTCTTGAATCATCAGACAATGCCCTCTGATTCTGTATAATGATTTGCGACAACGATCTGTGGTTTGTTTGTTTATTTATTTATTTATTTTATGTTAGGCTACAAAGGCTGCATCTGATGCTTGGAAGTTGATGAGCACCGAGGAGAAAGAAAATACACTCGACGAGCTTGTGAAGTGGATAATTACTTGAGCACAGCTCCGGCTCGTATCCCTAAGCCGAGGAAGCAGGTAGCATTTACTTGTGGTGATTTGTGTATTTCTTACTGCTCATCCAATAAGTTTTTGATTTTGTGATGCAGACTAAATAGTCACAAGGTGCTCTCCTGGCCGCTTATTCAATGTGCTACAACGCCTCACACCTGAGCAAAAAGCTGCAGTGAAGAGCGTGGGATTTGGTAGTCTACTTGGTTTGAGATGTCGCACCCTGCGATGCAGTTTATGTCTTTGGTTGTTGGAGAGGTTTAACACTGCACGGTGCAGCTTGGAGATATGTGGGGAGCGCATTCCTTTATCCCCTAGAGATGTAGAGCATGTGATGGGACTGGCAGCTTGTGGGAAGGATGTAGTAAATTCAGGTTCTGATGACTTGATAGCAGACTTGCGTCAAAGTTATAATGCTACTAACCGTGGGATTTCAGTGCGGCTTCTTGAAGAACGGTTGGCTGCTCCAGAAGCAGGAGACAATTTTAAGAGATCATTTATCCTTTATGCATTGGGTACACTTTTATCCCCAACAGCAAGACTGGATGTTAGCCCATCATTCCTCCATTTTTTAATTAATATGGATGTTGTGCACCAGTATAATTGGGGAAAGTTCTTGCTTGACCGGCTTGTTCGGGAGGTATCTCGCTTTCGTCAAGGGAACCAGCGGGCTGTTGGTGGATGCCGTCTTTTTCTCCACGTTGACAGACAACACTGACTTTTGTTTTAAAAAGATTAATCCTCACTAAATCTGTTTTATTTCTCAGCTGTTCTATTATGAGAGCATCTCAATTGAGGGAGCTGGATCTTCTACACCAATTGCTGTTCCATGCCTATCTTCATGGGGAGGAGAGATATCTGAAAGAGAAAAACGAGAAAGAGAACTCGGTGGTTATGGGTGCGGAGAGGTAAAATTACATCCACTACTTATCACACAATCAAATTTTATGAAACAGTAAAGTCTCCTTCTAAGCAGGTGATTAGCAAGGAGGATAATCATGATATGGAATCGCTAGAATATAGAATCCAAGTGAAAGGCCTATCGGGGGGAAAAATGAGCACAGGAGTTCCCATCTTTGAGCAGGAGAGGACTCAGGTATTTTTTGATAAGCATTTAATGGACCGATATATTCAATAAATATCTTTAAAAACTTTATTCTAATTTTGTTTAGATAAGTAACCTTTATCACGAACTTTATGAGGTTCTGCTATAAGTTATACCTTGTAGGGTCATATTAACCATCGCGTAAGTCTCAATAATCTATTGTGAAAGGAAAATTTTCAAGCATATTGTTAAAAAATGCTACTAAAATTACAACTTCTCTTGTTTGTTACCCCCTTAAAGCTACAGCTTGGATCTTTCTTAAGCTCAAGTATTGTCCGATGATCACTGTGATAGAATCTAGGATATTAGCCTGCAAAGCGTTTATTAGCTAAAACTAACAACTTAAAAGCAATTCATAACATAAGTAAACACCTGAAGTTTAAAATTGATGACTCAAATGTGACGCTTGGCATGTGCTGAGATGAAAGATCTAATCTTTTTACGAGAAAAAATTTCTTGACTCGCCAAATTTTCTACTTGTCGATTTTGTAGGCTGATGAAGAACAAATGAACGGGGATTTCAGCATGGAGGAGGTAATAGTTCTTCCTATAAAGCAACCGCACTTTGGTGATTCTTTCCCTTTTTTTGGGTCATTATTAGCTTTAACCTTTTCTGCATCTTGTCATTCTTTGTTCACCATTGAGTCTATAGTTACGTGATATGACTTGGAAATTTTGTGCTATCGGATTTTATATCGTATTACATTCATGACATAGTTTCATAAAGCATTCAAATGTGACAATAAAGCTTGCTTCTTTTTCTTCCTTTATCTTTGTCCCTGTCAGAAATGGTGAAATTAATTGTGTCCTTAAAATGGAGGATCTAAGATATGAGTGGAAGCATTATTTATTATTATTTATATATTTCTATTTATATATTTTATATTTCTATTTCATTTATTTTCATTTATTTCATTTGCATTTTGATTTAAAAAAAAGGAAGTAATTATAAACTTGAAAAACACGGATCGGGTTGGATTCATACATTCGCCTTGTGTCGCCTCGAGTACTATCACCCCGTGTCACCTTAAGTATTACAATTTGTTTGTTACCTCGTGCAATCTTGCATCAAAGATTCGAATCAGTGATCTCTCTCTGAAGTGAGTTCTTTTCCCCTCATGAGTACCAATTGTGCCAGAAGAAAACAATACGTTTGATGCAAGCACATTACATTGAACGTGTGTAAATTGTTCCATTTAAATCTAAAAGATACCAGACTTTTGATCATTCAGACCTTATATCAAGTGGAAATTGGTAGCTTTCCGGTTTTCATGAAACCGTCATGAACTTTTTGATCGTGTTACTCATGTTTCTGCAGGTATGTGTGGCGAATTTCGCAAGGAGTAAAGGCGTTGAGTGTGGCGACGTGGATGTAATTGTTGAACCCAATAGAAGACCGTGCGGTAACAAAGAATATGGCTGCAGTGAAATCGTGGATTACGTTAGGAAAAATGATCATGAAGAAAACTGCACGTTTGCACCGTGCGCTTGCCCACTTCTGAATTGCAATTTCATTGGCTCGTCCGAACAATTGTCACTTCACTTTGGTAACAAACACTGGGATTCCGGTAGACGTTTTGGGTACGACATCCCCTTTCCCATATCCTTGGGGATGAACGAACGGTTCCTTGTTCTGCAAGCCGAAGAGGACGGTATTCTCTTCGTCCTCAACTCAAGTGTCAAAAGCATTGGGAATATAGTGACGATAACTTGTGTTGCCCCAAGCTCATCAAAGTTGCATTTTTTGTATGATATTGTATGTGGAAAAGGAATAAGCTCTCTTAGATTAAAGTCGTCGACCGATAACTTTCTGGGACGAGTCAAGGGTTTTCCGCCTATGGATTTCCTTCTAATCCCTTTCCGATTCCTCGGTCCCTCGGGGGAGACCAGTTTAGAGGTTTGCATATGGAGCTCTGCAGAACTTGGTTCAGATTGCTCTTGCTCAATTTAGAGGTTTATTTTTTATTAATTAAGTAGTGTTTTTATGTTATGTAATTATATAATTATCAAAAAAAATATTATTTAAATTTGTTAAATATAATTGAAGAATAATAACTATTTTAATAATTAAAAGGTGTTAGAACTCCATTAGATTTATATGAAGTTAACAATCGAGGGATTAAAATCGAATGGATTGATAACGTAAGGGACTAAAATCGACTAAAATCACTCTTTTTTTAATCGATGACCAAAATTGGTTATACCGAAATAGTAAGGGACCATATGTATAGTTTACTTTTTAATATTTTATTAATAAACTATAGAAACATAATTAAACTTTGTGAAACACTTTATTTTTCATTATTTCGTCAAGAAAACATCTTAAATATACAATTATATCTTAAATACAATTATTTTTGTAAGAACACTTTAAATACAACTAAAACAATACAAGACGGTCACTAACTTACAGTATTATCAAACACATTATTTTGAAATTATTTCATGAAGATGAAACCTTAAGCTGGAGTTTGTACTGCTTCCCCTCGTAAGCCGGCTGTGTAATTAAGCTCATGCATGATCACTTCCCTTGGGACGGGTTGCAGTCTCCACAGGGCCTACTTGTCTCAATTGCTGCTCAATGACCATAGACAAAAACACCAACAACGTGAGGAGAAGCAATGACATAGGTGAATTATATTGTTTTTGGTACAATAATTGTTACCAGTTGTATTTTAAGTCCTTATTAAATTAAATGATAGTTAAATTTGAATCTTGTTCATTCCCTAAATATAATAATAGTCGAACCGAGATGAACCTGAAAGTAGGGCTCAAGCTTAGCTCTGAGGTTGTCATGCTCCAGTCGTAGCTCTCGGAAGGCGAGTTTTGCCCTACAAGTAAGTCATTACAAACCCTAAATAGTGCATGCAAAACCCTGGATCCATGAAATATTTTGTTTAAAACTAAAGAATGTTACCTTTCTAGGTCCCTTTCCTCCAGAAGCTCTCGTGTCCAAGTGATGTTATCTCGAACTTTACAAGCACCGACGCTTTTTAAAGTTAAAAATGTTAGATTATAGTGACATTGATTGTTATATATGGATAAACTATGCTTTTCATCATTGAACTTCGATCATATTTCTGTTTTGATCACTATTTTTTTTATAAAAAATCAATTTGAATTGGTCCCTTTTTTTATCATTGGGGCTTTAAATTAGAAATAATGGGTGACACGACCTATTTTTGCTGATGTTGGTTGAATTCCGGTGACGTGGAAGCCAACTCATGTTCCCCCCTCATTTCATCGTCTTCCCAACAATTTTAGAACTATTATAGTTTCATCTCATCTCACGTTGTCATCCACACACCGCCATTCTTTGATGTCTTCTACAATTGTTCTAAACATCGGTAAAATGTCTCGGTATCCCTTATCATTCTATCAATTTAAATTTTTCCAAAACATCTTTAAAACTCAAAGAAAATGATTTTGATCTACCATCATCATTGTCTGATCACCCTATGATTCAGATGTATTACTCATCTCTTCCTTCTCCACCTCCTCACCGTTGAGATTTAGAAGAAAATACTCCATCATAGAAAAATCAAAGCGAATATTATAATTTACAACCCTTTATATACATTAATATTCATTTAAAAATCTTTCAAATATTATTTATTTACATTGAATAATAAGTCTATATTTGAACCAAATTACCAAATAAGAAAAAAAAAAGAACACGATCTTTTTCAGACATTGAGCTGTAAAACCTAGAACCTAAAGATTTTTGAAGCTTTGCAGATTCATGTAGGTAACTGAACACCCAAACTTCCTTTCAGATCGAATTAAGGGAAACAAACTCGAGAAACTCCGGCACGAAGGCGATTATGTCGAATAGTTATTCCGAGAACAAACAACGTCCTTGAGAGCTGCAGGTCTAACGTCCTCCTGCAACACTATCTTACACTCCAATGTGTCACCACAAGACTTCTTCATCTCCATTAGATAGAAAGATGAGGTGAACTCGAGTATCTCCGCGTCGATAGCCGATGTGCCTTTCCGACCCTTGCTCGATTTTTATATACTTATTTTATGTCACATGTCCATTCACTTCTGTTTGTGCAGTTTTTCAATTCCATTAACAGTGTATGGGAAACTTTGTCATATATTAATATTCAATTACATTGAATAATAGGTCCACATTTGAACCAAACTAAACAAGAGAAGAAAAACAAATTGTTTTTCAGACATTGAAGTGCAGAACCAATAACCTTTTGAAGCTTCAAACATTCATATGGGAAACTAAACATCCAAACTTCCTTTGAGGTTGAATCATGTAAATAAACTCGAGAAACATCGACACAAAGGCTACTATGATGACTAGTTATTGCCAAGACCAAACAATGTCCTTGAGAGCTGGTCTAACCTCCTCCTGCAACATACTCTTATACTCCAATGAATCACCACCGGACTTCTTCATCTCCACTAGATGGAAAGAAGGGGTGACCTCGAATATCTCCGTGTCTATAACCAATGCACCTTTCCGACCCCTGCTTGATTTTTTGATTTTCAAAAGCCCTCCATCTTCCTTCTTGATTTTGAACTTCAATTGCTGAGCAGTGTCCTTTAGTTTGGATGTGATGGCAGAGGCACTGTGCACAGAAGTGAAGTGAACTTCCTTCTTCTTATTCTCCTCGTTCGTTTCTGTAAACAATCCAGACAAATCCAATCCGCTCGAGAACGAAATGATGTCAAAAGCATTCAACTTAGGAAGGTCATACTTGTGATTCTTTGTTTCAAGTGCTGCAGTGTTAGCCTCAGATCGGAAAACCACATTGGTATCGGCACAGGGAAAATCCTGTTTGGATGTTTTCCGAAGTGAGTTTGATTTAAACCCCTTTTTGAACCAACGTTTTGTCATTAGTTTCGCGATTGAAATCCGAGATTTCGGATTAGGATTGAGGATCTTCGATAGCAGCTTGGTTACATCAGGTGAAAACCAACTAGGAAACTTGTAATCTGCCGTGCTTATTTCTTATACATTCCTAACAGATTCGAATCACGAAATGGAAGATACCAGCCAGTAGAACAAAGAGGATCACCCCGCAAGACCAGATATCGGCTTTCGCCCCTCGTAGCCTTTCTGGTTTATAACTTCAGGAGCTACATAGGCTGGGGTTCCACAAGTTGTGTGGAGCAATCCATCTGGATGCTTATTCACAGCAAGTGCACTCAAACCGAAATCCGACACCTTAAGTGTTCCATTCTCGTCGAGGAGTAGGTTCTCGGGTTTCAAATCCCGATGATAAACGCCTCTGCTGTGGCAAAAGTCGACTGCACTGATCAGCTGTTGGAAATACTTCCTTGCAATGTCTTCTCTCAGCTTCCCATTCGCTACCTTGTTGAAGAGCTCACCACCATTGGCATACTCAATAACGAAGTAAATCTTGTTTTTGCTAGCCAGGACCTCGTAAAGTTCCAAGATGTTCGGGTGCTTAACGAGGCTCATACTCGATATCTCCGTCTTGGTTTGATCTATCATGCCTACTTTCTGAACCTTCTCTTTCTTGATGACCTTAATCGCCACACTCTGACCGGTTTCGATGTGCTTCGCATAGTAAACTTTGCCAAAGTTTCCTTGTCCTAACAACTTTCCGAATTCGTATTTTTGCATCAACACCTTCCCTTTACTCTCCATTCTATAAAATTTTTAATCCTAACAAAGTCCAAAAATGTAGTGTCTCCTGCAGTGATAATATATATGCATACACTCTAGCAAGAAACTCAACCGTCTTCAACAATGAAATCCAACACGACGGCAATGTTGTTTTCTGACCTGTTAAGAACTTGGACACCGAGCAAGACCGCGCTGTTTGTTGTGCGTCCAACCTCATCGAGAACGAATAACGATAGTTTCAATCCGGATCCATGCTTATAGAGTTTGGATAAAGTGTTCTCAGCGTGCAAGGACATCTTTCTGCATCCCCTACTCCTTTCTTAATGCTTTCTGAAGCACAAAATGAGGAAGTTAGGCAATGATTCAAACTCCTGGAATGCACCAAATTAACCAACAAACACAACAAGTTCAACTCTCTTTTTCTTCCATTTTTCGAGTTATAAACAATCATTCAAAGATTCAAGAACAATGAATTATAAAGATGAAAGACTCACAGGTCGAGAGTAACATCATGCAACTCAAATATTATTCTTCAACGGGTTTTATCTTTCGTCTCTGTCGAGAATTTTAACGAATTCACAAAAATAAGAATCTTTCCAAGTTCGTAAATAAATGTCACTTTATGGTACTATAATTCTCACTTTATGAACCTTTCAGGATTCGATAAAACTTCGATCCGAGATATTATCTTAATTGTTTGATGTACCTGTGAATCATAAAAAAAAAACATAAAAAATGTAAGAAAAACAATGAAATTTCTATGAAAATGAAAATCCAAACTTACTTTTGAAGGCCAAATGAAAAAGAAATGAGGAAATCAATGGAAGAAAATACCCTTTTAAGGAGGAGGTGGAGGGATGTAATCAAAGACACAAATGGCTGAATGTACAATGGATGTAATAAAAATGAGAAATTTGTTGTGTAATAGTTGGAATCATTGGATTTCCTTTTACTAAATATAGAAACTGTTGGTTATGACAGAAGAACAAAAGCCTGAAGTTTCTTAGAGCTGTCGAATCCGACATGCAAGCTTTGCTGTTGAGATGAGACGAGGGCTTAACAATAAGCCTATTTTGGGAGTTTGAATATCTACTCTTGTCAAGTCTTATGTTTTCCTCGATATAAAAAGGTGTAATATCATTATCAGTCCCTGCACTTATCACAGATCCACACCATTGTCCATTGTGATTGACATATATATATATTTTTTCACAATTTAGATTTTTTTGATTTTATGCAATTTTATTTTGAAAAAAAAAATTGCTACAAAAACAGATTTTTGGAAGCTTCGAGACATATTTTCAATGAGAAAGATGAAGATTTGAATCATAAAATTATGGTTTTATATTTTATTTTATGAGACAACGGTATATCATATACTCAAAATAATTTAGTGATAAATAAAAAATCAGTGTTAAAGTAAGGTACTATGTGAATGAAAATAGAAAGTTTATATTCCGTATTTGTGGAACATCAAGTGTGAAATATATTTATATACAAACTATTTGGGTGTTGTAAAATGTGCAAGATAAGGCTTTGCCTCGCGTGAAAACACAAAAAATGCAAACTGATGTGAATTCATCTAAATTGAGGTTGATGATGTAGTGTACGATATGGACGATGCAAATAGTAGTAGCCTGTAGATATTTTAACCCAATATAAAAAATTTCCTAAAATAAAAGCATATCTCTTAAATTTTTATTTGATTTATAGTAGCATTATCATTTCGTAAAATGCAAACCGTTTGATTTTTAGAGGACAGTAGCTCTGAAATCGTCTACGCGTCCTCTTCTTGGCGCAGACGTAGTCTTGTGTCTTCAAAACTCTTCCAACCTCTTCAAAGAACATTAAAAAAAACTTCGCCTAAAAAACCCCCCGATTGATTCAGCTATGAGATGAAATTGCTGAGCAATTAATGCAAAATATGGATTGATTTATTTTAAAAAAATTATTATTGTAGTTGTATGAATTATTTAAATTTCAGTATTGTAAACTAAAATTATTAAATTTTAGTATTGTAAAACTCTTTTAAGTTTAAAAAATCAGTTTATTTTATATTTCAGTTTATTTTAACAGTCTGCAGACGTTAAAAAATAAACAGTCTTTTTCTTACAGACTGTAGACTTCTAGTCCACATTTTCTGCTGCAGATGCTTGCAGACGTGGTCCGCATACTGCAGACATTTTACCTCTGCAAAATCAAACAACACCTTAGTTTCATTACAAAGGCAAAAGAAAATTAGTAAATAAATCATAATGAGCTTTCATTAATAAATCCGGATAGAGAAATCAGAAGAAATTATGCCTAATTATCTTGTTACAAGAGAGTAATAAGAGAATATGAGAGAAATTATTCGTATTATTTAGATTCTTTTACTTAAATGTCACCTTAAAGAATTGGTTACCGAATTATCATTTGTTTTAGATTGATTCTCAGATTGACATATCTTTAGGTAAAGATGTATTGTTAGACGTGTCTTTACTTACGTGATAAGAAAATAATCAAATTTTTTAAAAGTTGCATTAGTAAGGGCCAAAATGAAAATAAGAAAAAATAGTATGTCAAAATATAAAAAAAAATTATACGAATTTTGTCCAGAAAAGGAATATACACAATACACGTCATAGATATGTATTTACACGAGCACAAGCTTGGCAACAACAACACACATGTATGAGCGTTGTATTCAATCACTTAATATATATATATATATATATATATATATATATATATATATATATATATTTAAAAGACTATATTTAAACATTTGAAAAATATCAATATCTAACATATAAATTTAAGAATCTCATGGCCAAAATTGTTGATTTCGATATATCAAAGACGTGTTCTGAATTTGATCTGATCCTTATTAGTATGACAGTTAAATGAAGTTTTGACTGAAAACTTCATTAGAGTAATTATCGTTGTAATCGTCGATAGCCTTTGTTAATCGTAACTAATGAAGATACTCCAAATCATATGGGTCAGTCAACCGACCTAATTATTCCAACCTTATATCAGCAGCCTATCAATATATGTTGGACCTCCATAGTCTTAAGCGCAATTCTTAAGCGTGATCAAGCTGCACCAAGAACAGACTAATATGATGAATCAAGCTAGACCGAATCAACTTGAATAGAATTTAACCCGTTGACTAACTCATTGACCCGACTTGTTTAGTCGATTCGTTGATCCATTGGCTATTGACTATAGACTTCGACTTGATGTTTTTTAATCTCTTAGTTCTTATTACGCAATCTATTTCTTTTAATCTGACCCGAAAATATCGTTTTACATCTCACATCATTTTAAATTGCATATATGTTAAGTATACTATGAAATTAAAGGACTTTTATATTAGGTTTATGTTATGACCGTGGCCACATATCTCTGCATTACTCTCCAGCAGATCAATATCAGCTTGACTTCATTACTAATAAAAGAGTTTGATAGATCAAATTACATTTTAACTCAAATAGATATTTTATTATTTAAAAATATTTGTAATTCAACTTATCAATATTTATATAACTAATAATTTATTCAAACAAATATATTGTATTTATTATTAAAATTAAAATTAAAATTAAAATTGAACTGAACCTTTCCAAGAGAAAAATAAGTGCAAAACTCATAATTAGAAGGCTGAGAACACTAGTTGGACATTGTAGAAAAAGCCAACTTTAAGCCCAGTAATAGACTTTCCCACCGTTGAGCCAACCAGGCAGGCACCCGGGCACTCAACAACACCAAAACCCCTGCCCTCTGCCTCAACACTTCGATTGCAACATTGGGAATTTGTTCCAGGTTTGATCCCTTGAATTCTCTTCAGCTCTTTATGTTTCGTGGTAAAGCTGCCTGCTATGATTTCTTTGTGTTTCTTGCAAAAGGGTATACCAAAATCTCATGATATATTTATTTTCGTGACAATTGGGAATGTTTTGTTTATGGCGTATATTGAACTAGTTTGTTGAATGATCTTGTAGGAATAGAAGAAATAGTTGATAACCACAAGGTTGATGCACTGAAACCCAAGTTTATAATTGCAACAAAAAGGGAGTTTTTTGTTTTTCCTTTTTCATTGAAAGTAATTTTGGGAGTTCTAGAGGAAAACCCAGATGTTGTTTTTTTTTGAAATATATCATTTGAAATCAGAATCCAGATAGAGGCTTCAATTTCTTGTTCAATGGAAACACGGCCTTTTTTATGTGTTTGAGTGGAGGCAACAAGATTTCTTTATGTGATTGGATGCCTGGTAATAAAACTTTGCAGATGTTTCCTAAATGCATAACACTTCACAGAGTGGATGTAAAGAGGCCGAGGATTCATGCCTTCCCTTACCATAAACTGGTCTCGCAGTCATATGTCAGTTTAATGTTTGAAAGTCCTATGCCGACTTTAGTTTACAGTAGGAGGAAGAAATGGCGTGGAAACAGCAGCAGTGGTAGTGCTGTTGCCAACTTTTGTGCACAGGAGCCGGTGAATTCTAGGAGAAGCGGAGATTGTCTTTATGTTGCCAGTTCCGATACTCTTTCGAGGCAATCATGGAGCAGAAGGGAATTTCTCGAGATGAACGTGAAGCTGCAAACTGTTAGTGATCCCCTGGAAACTCTTGATTGCAGTAGAGGGCCTCACATTTCAAAGTGTGAATTTGCTAATGGAAGTTCTGGTGTGTATGACCACAGTTCTGATGATGTACATAAAACTTGCATCAACAAGGAAACAAGGACTACTGGTGTGGTAGTAGTAGTTCCAGGTTGTGTGCAAAGCTTGTAGCCGTTCAGAACTGTTCAAAAGATGCTAATATGTGATAGGTGAAGAAGCATTCCACATACATTGCTGCACTCCCGGATAAAGAAACTACCGATTGACTGGGGTTGTACTTTGTGTATGAAAAATAAGCGAATAATTCAAGGAGGCAACTGCAAGCAAGGCTTCAAGTATCACTGGTGGAATGGGTAGATGCAGAGATGTATCACCTGAAGGGGATTTCAGTCCAATAGAATTAATGTTGAGAGACTGAACCTTATAGAACCAGCGTACGGATTGGAAAGGGTATCAGCAGAAGTTCCTGACTGGTCTGGTCCAACTGATAAGTATGTTCCATAAACTATTATTTTTATATTAATTCTCTTTAGAATGATATGTTTTGAGGTTTTCTATGCCAAATCATAAGCGCTTTGATTTCCACGCAAGTATGAGTTTTTGGGGGAAAAAAGTCTCGGGTAACATCAAAATATTGCTGGGTTATGTTCCTGACCTTGATTATGATTAATATTTATGCATGATCTTGTATATTACCCCAAGATTAAATTATCTGATTCATTTGTTAGGGAAATTCGGAGTTGGATACCTTAAGCACTAAATGAAGTTTGGCTGTGTAGGGGTGTTTTTTTATTGGATAATAGGCCTCATTAAAAACCTCCCTCTTAGTTAACTCTAGGAAAGAGTAACTAGCGGAAGGAGGAAAGAGTACCTCATTTATTGAATAGAGAACTATTACAATAAAATACACCAATACATTTAGGGCATCAGAATAAAACTATAATCCTTAAGCACCCTATACAAATACCCTTACAATCAACCGATCCCATCCTTAGCTAATTTATCTGCTTCCCAATTACATCCCCTAGGAATCCATCCAATAATAACCGCCCTCTCTCTTGAACTAAGGACAAATATCCAAAACAAGGGAACTGAAGAAACTAGGAACAAAATTAGGCAACAAATCCAGTCTACTGCAGATTTGCAGTCACTTTCTAAGATCAGTCTTCCCTTTACAGCCCAATCTGATTATAGAAAATGTCTAAACCTTTCTTATAGCTTTTAGCTCAGCCAACGGAGGAGGGCCTGGACCAATACTAACAGAGAAAGTCAATAAAATGATACTATTACAATCTCTCAAAATACCTCCAATTCCTCCAGCCTACCCATCAAAACTTGACAGCCCCATCAAATTAAATTTATAAAAATCTGTTGGGGAAGGATACCAACTTTGTATCAAACTTCTGTGAATTTTCTGATAACCAAACCTGTCTGCAGAGAGGGGTCCCCTACCAACAAATCAACTTGTATTTGAATATGGGAAACTTAGCTAGAAACCATTTAGCCAACCTAAATTTATTAGGAAAAAGAGAGAGGTTATATAAAGGCTAGAATTATCAAACACAATTGAATTCCTTGCTTTCCAAATAGACCAAAGAACTACTCCCGGGATGAATTTCCATATGTGCGAGTTTTTCTTTAAATCAGACCATGAACTTAACACAAACTTGTCTGTATAGATGTCCCAAATCTTTAAAAATTTGTTCCAAAGATCCCCTGCAACTGAACATGAGAAAAAAAGATGTTGGACTGTTTCTTCATTCTTTTTACAAAGTGGACATAGTACGTCTTCCATAGGAACCCCCTTTTTCAGCTCCATTTTGACAGCCAATTTCTTGTGTATGATTTGCCAAAGGAAGGTTTCTACTCTAGGAGGAGCCAAACCGACCAAACCCACCTTTTCCAAGAAAAACAATCTCCTTGACTATTTGATAAAGCCAATTGCAGGATTTCACCGAGAACAGATCGTCCCCCTTCCCAGATCAAGAAAGAAAATCCTCCATTGAATCAGATAAATTAAAACAATTTAGTGTTTTCCATTAGCTCGACCCATTGGTTCAATTCCCAATCACATAAGTTTCTTCTAGTTGGAACATCCACAACCCATCCATTTACATCAAAGCAACCAAAATCTGCCACCTTACCCCTTTGTTATTTGATAATGCAAATATCCTGGGAAATTGAGTCTTCAAGGGTAAGTCATTGACCCAAACATCATTCCAAAACGAAATAGACTTGCCATTTCCCAATTGAGTCCTAGTATGAGACCTCAAACATCCTCCAATGTCATCATTTTTCAAATAATTGTTCACAATTCCTTTCCAAAACCAAGAGTCTTTTGTCGATACAACTTTGGTAATTGACATGGATAAAGTACTAGCATTGTGTTTGCTGCATATCATCCTTTTCCAAAGTGATTCTTTCTCATTTGCAAATTTCCACACCCATTTCTCAACAAAGCCCTATTGTGATATTCAAATTCAAAATTCCCAAGCCACCATCCTCCAAAGGTTTACAAACTGCCTGCCAGCTAACCCAGTGCATACGATTTTTGTTTGAGCTTTCCCTCCAAAGAAAGTTGGCCATCAATGTATTAACTTTTTGCCTTACTTTGAGCGGCATTTTAAAAATGGATAAGAAAAAAATCGGTAATGAAGATAATACCGATTTTATAAGCACCAATCTGCCCGCCATTGACAGTGAAGAAGCCTTCCAACCAGCTAACTTACTGTTAAAATTCTGTAAAACCGCTCCCAAAGTACTTCAGAATTTTTCTTTGCTCCTATAGGAAAGCCAAGATATTCCATAGGAAAACAGCCCACTAAGCAGCCAATATCATTCGCCCATTCATTTAAAGTAGCAGCTTCAACATTTATACCAAACAGTTTACTCTTAGAAAGGTTTAAGTGCAACCCTGTCATTAAACTGAAAATCCTGATGTTCTGGATATTAGTAAGAGAGTCATGGCAGAACAGAATAAGGTCATCAGCGAACTGTAGGTGAGTCAAATGGAAAGGATTAACTGTAGGGGTGTTTTGAAAGAAGGGAAATGGAGTTTTGTGTGGGGGTGTTACTATTGTGAATGCTAGATTAAATAATGCATTCAATTCCACATTTCCTACGATACGGATTTTGATTCAGCATTGGTTGCCTATAGGCTAATCAAGTGATTGATTGATTAGTGACAAGCCAATGTTTAATTATTTACCTTTGCTGATAGCAATCTTTCTTTTGTTTTCATGTTACTTTTCCTTATATATTAATTTCATTTAGTTTACTTCGTTTCTCATTAGAAACCATAAAAGATAGAAAGGTTAAATGCTATCATATGATTCTTGCTTCACAAGTGTTGTTGTTTCATAACTAGTTTGTATTATGATGCAGTGATGTTGATACAATTGGTGAGCCACTAAATTTGGTTCCTTCAGAATATACAGATTTCCATGTAAGGCTTCAATTTTCTTTTTCGGTTTGCATTTCCATTTTGCAGATATGTGACTATTCGTTTGAGGAAAATTGACTCATTTTATTCATAGGAACTGAATTGCTACAAGTTAAATAAATTGAGCTTAATAGGAATTGGCTTCAATGTAGAGGGTTGGTAGAAGGCGAGGGCGGCAATAATGGAACCATCTGTGGAAAATGGCGCAGGTATAGCATGCTTGCATTGATATTTTACTTTCTTGTTGTTATTTATGTTGGCACAAGTTGGTATTTGCTAAAATTTATAACGTTTGTCTAGGGAATAGTTACCAGTTCTCTTCTGATCGACTTAGATGAATTATTGTTGAAACTTGAAGTGATCAATCCGTTATGTCTAAAACTCAATGTTGACCTTGGGTAATCATATCCTTAAGTAAATATATTAAATTAATAAATTATGATGAATATTGGTATAGGATATCCTCTAGTAAGTGGTTAAGTAACCTTAGAATTTAAACCCCGATACATGTAACATATCACCCCCTTTTTCATTATCTTTTGTTAATGATTAGAAGATAACACTTTCGTGTAGTAAAAAATTGAAAATTGATGAGATGGAAGTACATCATATCTTCTATTATCAGCGTATATTGAGGATAAAGATGATTTCATTGTCCTCAAGAACTCGAGGAATTCAGTTCCGACTTAAGTACTAGGCATTGCTTAGATGGTCATAGAGCTTTGTTACTGGTTGCTAGGGACTTAACATGCACATATTTTGTAGTTTTGGTTTTGTGTTTCTCATGAACAATGCTTAATTTTTTAAAGCTGATGATTTTATAGGGCTCCACTTTTTGAAGTTCAAACTGATAATTGGGAGTGCTTCTGCTCTTTCCAATGGGATCCATTGCATGTGATTGTTCTGTACCCAGGTGGTAACCCTTTAACAACTTTAATTTTTTTTTTCTATGTTATTTTCAGATTTCAACCTTCAGCATCAGGTTATGTTCTTCGGTTTTTGAATAAATTAACTTGGAATTTGGAATTTTGTATTACTAGGGAATCTCTTCTTGGATCAGTCATCATTTAGAATTTTAATTTTGTTATTCTCAAACTGAAGAACAGGCCATGTCTCATGTCAATATGTTTCATTTGGAAGCTCAAAATTAAAGGTGGATCATATTTAACGTGTCATCAACTTGTAATTAATCACTGCAAGTGTTTTTCATAGATGCTGATTGGAGACTCAAATTTAGGCCATGCCATCCATAGAAGTGGAAAGAATCTTGGTTATTGTCCCTTAATCTGTCCAAAACAAAACATGCAATTCATGTATGTGGAAAGTAGGTATTTTGGTAAAGAGACTTCTGATTTATTCTCTTAATTTTCTTATTTGAAATCGTATAGAAAGCAGCCTATTTATAGGCTGCGTACATAGAGATTTACTAGCACTAAGGCACATCCTTATCTTTACTTTATATAAGATAATCCTATATATACTTCAGATAAGATAAGACTTAGACTACATCGAAACAACTGACTAAATACAATATTAACAGTAGATATTTACACGACTCCAATCTACAATGTAGTAAACAAGAAGTTAGTCCCATTTTAAGGTTTTATAGCAAATTGTCCGCATGCACTTCTGTCATCCCGTCTTCTTATCAGATTGCTAGAATCCCTGGAAAAGGAACTGCAAATAGGTGATGTCCTATATATTGTCTCTGCTGTTGTATTATAAAATACCAGTTTAATTTATTTTATTTCAAGCCATATAAGATAAATTGAGTTTTAGATAGCAATTAAAAGGCTACAAACAGAAGAGCAAAAAGTAAATTTCTCTTGATATATGATATTCAATTTTAGGTTATCATTGTTGCTAGTATGATTGTATTTATCCTCTAATCGAACTTGTTGATGCATTTGTTTGATCAGGAGCTGGAAACAAATGAAGTTTTGAAGCAACTCAAATATGTTGAGATGGTATGCACTGATGATGCACTCATTAATTATGTTCCCATTTCTGGTTTCAATTTGTTGTTAATATTGCTATTTCACGTTCTCTGCAGTTAAGACCTCGGCTATTAGCTGAATGGACAAAATCAGATCAGACCAACAACCGCACTTTGCAAGATGGTAAAGATGATACGAGAAATGCACAGAGCTAGGCTGCACACGGCAATGGTAATTTTCCTGGGGTATCTATGTACAGCTTGCCTTGAAAAGATCTTGTATATCAGAAATTCCTTAAAATTCCAAAGGTCTCGATTTTGCAACTAGGTATCTTCTTAACGGTTACTTGCATTCTATTGTACTATTGGAGAGAAATCATCTAGTATGAAGAGTATTATGCATTGCTTTCATGACCTCCGTTGTCTTGTTTTGCTTTGGCTTGCCTGCAAATTCCTGCATTTATCCAAAACTTCTATCATATGTCCATGGTTGTTAAAACCGGAAAATTATAGAACCGGCCAAAACTAGTAAGAATCCAGTAAAATTCGGCCAAATATGCAGCCGGTTTACCCGTTGTTTGGGGTAAAATAGAGATTGTAACCCGGAGATAAGAGGAGAGGTTGCAGATTCTAGGATTTGAATATCTTGAACTTCTATATATACATCTTGAGGTTTGTTCTTTTGTTTAAGGCGCAGAAATGTATTATTAGAAAAGGATATAAACATACATATGAATGATGATCAATTACTCAAATTTATGGGAATTTTAAGTCCTCCTAGGTGCTAACAGGTGGAAATTACACCATTCTTATTGAAATAGGGGGGAAAACATTAATTGTTCTACACATGTCTGGGTTACATCAAGATCATTTTTTTAATTGATTTTAGGGATAAAAGCAACTATTAGTCCCTGAATTTCGCTTTTTAACTTAATCCTTGAACTTTTTTGGTTAGTCCTTGAACTTGGATTTTTTTTTAATCCTGTCTAAGAGAATCACATTATCAAGAGGACTAAAAATTTGAAAAAGTTTAGGACTAAAAGTTGGTTATCCCTAAATTAAGGGTTGATATGACCAAAAGGAACTCATAAGAGTCATTCAAATTGTCACCAATCCAGCTCTTATTCTCACCTCACTATTGTCACCAAAAAGCTGTTCAAGAAGTTCCCAACTCCGATCCCACTGGTGAAAAATGTTGTCCCCAAGCTTTGCATGTCTTCGGGTGACTGATCATAGAAGAAGTACAGAAATTCGACAGCATTGAACACGTCGGCTTTCCCGAGCAAAACATACTGCGGCAGCAACCAGAATATGTTAATGAAACTATTTGTTTAGGCCCTGTAATTTGATGCACTCTTATGACGTGCATTCTCTACACTTCCACGACATATGTGATGATGATCGCGACTATCTAGATGATGAATCTGATGTCGAGTCTTTGAAGGAGTGTGATTCCTAGGAATCTTTGTTTCCGACACATGAATTCATAGAGGGAACAACAATTCCTTTAATCATTAAGGTCGTTTGTGTTAATTTAAATTAAACTAATTAGTATCATAACATTATAAATAATTAAATTTAAATTTAAATAGAAACTCAACAAATACATTTCTTCCACTCGATTAAAAGAATTAAATAAAATTTAAATGATAAAATAATACTTATAAATTCAACTAATTTTTTTTCTCTCAACTTCCTCGACCCATTCTCGATATAAAATTTCTACCACTTCCACTAGCGAAATCCTTCCAAGAGTGCGGATATTGGGCTTCTTCTTAGATTGGATCATTCATTGGGTCGAAAAACACTACTCTATGGAAGATGCTAACTCTTTCAAATGTCGAAACTTTCCTCGTTTTCCATTGGAGGGAAGAAAAACAAGCTGAAAGGGCAAGTAGGTGAAGTTTTGGCCCAACAACTCTTGTATTTCTACTTTTGAATGGTAATACTTTTGTGGGGTATATGGGCAGGCAGTAGCCTTTGTAATTTCTACTATTTTTTTAATTAATAAAAGTAGCTTAGTCGAATAATGTCTACCAGGTGTTTGACAGAATTTTTGGCTTTTAGCTATAGTTATGTACTTGGCTTATGATGTCTGTCCAAAATTAACTTTTGAGTTGAATTAAGGTCAAAAGTTGAGGACTTTGGTTGATTATATTTACAATTTTGGCTCCAAGTCTACTACGGAGAGTGACAGAGGCGCATGAACAATTTGCGCTTTCGGTTTCTATCATAACTTAGCTTTATTATCCGTTTCGTCAATGAAGTTTGTAAGTTTCATGCTTTCCCACTTTCTTGTTAGTAGGGATTGGTTGCAATTTGGAAGGGTAATTATTTAAAAGGATTGTTATTTTATACATTGATGAAGTTTAGAAAATATTCGCAAATGGGTTTTCTCTGATTTAAAAGTATATTTTTAAAGTTTAATGATATATAAGGAAGTTGGTAGTAAGTTATTAAGTTTTACATTTGATTGATTGATTCTAGCTTTTGTTAAATGAAATCTTAATTAGTTAACAATGAAACTTTTTGTTTGCTATTGGAAGCAACAAATCAAGTAGAGAGTAACTATGAAAGAGTACTTAAACTTTTTTAGCTAAATGAATGTGCAACAACTATGTAGGTTCGTTTGTTAAGTTTTAACTTCATTTGGTGTCTGAGAAAATTTTCCTTTTATGCATCTAGTGTGCGTACATGTCTGTTTGTATATCGTTGTTTGTGCTTTTTGTTCTGATTAAGGGGAATTCATTGAGGTTTTGCATTTGCAGACATGCCTTAGTAAAGGAAGTGGTTTCCATTTCCCACCTTGTCATATGCTGAATGTATCCGGGTTTAGGATATTACTTGATTGCCCCTTGGACCTTTCATCTCTTGCCATTTTCGGTCCTGTTCCAGTTGCGTTTGAGGTTCACGAGTCTTTGGATTCAGACTCGGTGTTAGGAAAAAGCAGAAGATTGAAAAAACTCTTGATGCAAATGACTTAGTACGTGCAGAGCCTTGGTATAAAACTGTAAAAAATTTGCATCTATGGGACACTTCCTTCATTGATGTTGTTTTGATCTCAAGTCCTATGGGAATGCTTGGCTTGCCATTTCTTACTCTATCTAAAGACTTTTCTGCAAAGGTAACTTGATTTTGGGAAATGTTTCATTTTTTAAAACATGAATATTAAATGGTGATGCTTGTTAACCTTAGCTGACAATTGTTTCTGTGCTTTGATTTTTACCTTGGTTAGATATATGTGACTGAAGCAACAGCGAGAATAGGGCAGCTTATGATGGAGGATCTTGTTTCAATGCATATGGAATTAAGGCGATTTTATGGACTGAGGATGTTGTTTCCCTCAGTGGATGAAATGGAAAAATCTTGAATTTCTTCCTTCTGAATTGAAGAAATAGCATCAGGAAAAGATTGTGAGGAGCTGGGAGCTTGGATGCCTTTGTACATGTAATTATCATTCCTTGGATCATATGTAACCTAAAAACTGCTTTTAGAATAACCATCAGTTTTGCATATTTAAGATCCATTTTGTCCAGATTTTCCCCTTTACAGCAACTTGAATGTAGAAGTTGATATATAGGACATTAATTGATTTACTTTACAGTGAAGCTGATGTGAAGGATTGCATGAGGAAGGTTCAAACACTAAAATATGCAGAAGAAGTTTGCTACAATGGAACTTTGATCATAAAAGCATTCAGCTCTGGTTTGGAAATAGGGGCCTGCAATTGGACAATAAATGGTCCGAAAAGAAATATAGCTTATATTTCAAGCTCCATCTTTGTTTCAACACATGTGATGGATTTTGATTTCCTTGGCCTTCGAGGGAATGATTTGATAATATATTCAGATTTCTCATCTTGGATACCACAGGAAATATGGAGAATGATGATACTTGCTTTGATCCAGTTACTTGTACTTCATCAAATGTTAGGTAATTATGCTGAGTGTAATAAAATATTAATTTAGTTTTTGCTTGTGTGCCTTTCATTTAGAAAATACTATATATTTCTTTAGATTGATAGATCTGGATCTATGCATCATGATTGTAGCGATGATGTCAACAATTTGGAAGAGATAGCTGCATCCTTGCTCAAGGATGATGAAAGTAGAGAGGAAATGGAGAAACTAGCTTTTATATGTACCTGTGCCTTTGATTCTGTTAGAGCAGGTGGGTCGGTTCTTGTCCCTATCGATCGACTTGGGATTGTTCTATGCCTTTTGGAGCAAATGTCACTCTTGTTGGAGTCTTCATCTCTAAAGGTATTGCATTTTTCTTTTCCTTTCTTTGGATTAGCGTATGTAGGTACTCATCCACACAGACATTGGAGACATTTAGAGGCTAAGCTGTACTGTCAAAAGGACACAATAGCTGACAGATATGAGAGAAACAGAGAGGAATCACTGTTTATCAGCTGGAGTCATTTTTTGTGAAAATTGTTGTTTCTTCATCATACCTAATTTCTACAAACTAAAACTCAAGGTGTATTTCTCTAGCTATGTGGTTGATATGATTACCTTGGGACTGTGGCCTTCGCCTTTGACCTTTCTAATAATTACAAGGTGAGGTTTGGTCATGCTATAGCTTAAGTTTTCTGGTTTAGCAGGATTTGTCATCACTTTTAAGACCCAAGACTTGTGTATGGGTACTCATTTTAGTGACCAAAATCTATTTCAAAGCCATGACCTTATAGCTTAAGCTTTCTGGTTGAGCAGTTCTCTGACAGGTGAAAAGATAAAAATGTTTTAACTTGTATACTTGCTTTGAGTCATGCGTCCACAAGCAGTCATATGCTATACATTTTTCATGCAGGTTCCAATATACATTATATCTTCTATAGCAGAAGAATTATTAGCATTTACCAATATAATACCAGAGTGGCTCTGCAAGCAGAGACAAGAGAAGGTGCATTTAATCAGTGGTTTATTGTCTCAATATAAATGAAGGACCTTTTCTTATTCCTCTTTTTGTTGGTGTTACAGCTTTTTTCTGGTGAGCCATTGTTTACACATGTCAAGCTCATAAAAGAGGGGAAAATTCACTTGTTTCCAGCAATTCATTCAATCAAGTTACTGTAAGATATGCCCTTTTTGTTTCTGTCATTGTTTCCTGCTGATTGTTATGCTTGTGAACAGAAAATGTTACCTGTGGCATGCACATTCAATGGATCTTTGACCGTACCTTATTTATCTACGTTGACACTTTTACCTCCCACTACCTAATTTTTGATTGAGCAGTTTTCTCTTTGTTATATTAACCTGTTATATCTATTATTGTTCCAGATACTTAAGTCTTCAACATAATTTAAACTTTTCGTGAGAGAAACCGAAAAAAAGGATCCAACTTCTTAAAATTTGTAAAATACTGATTTTAATTAGAGAGAACTATGTAGCAGTGGAGGCAGCTCAGCTTTTGGCCTATTTCACATGCTAAAACAGATTTAAAGTTCATACGGTAGAAGAAATTTGCAAATTGCATGGTGCGAGGTTAACTCAACAATAATTGTATGTATTACTTGGTTTTCTATGTTTTGTAAGTGATAAGGTGTAACAATTTTGCCCAAACTGCTCTAACATCAGCTTAAAAATTATATTTCTTGTTTCCCATAGAAAATTATAAATAAAAGAGTCATGTTTTTTGTCATTGCATTCATGGGTGGTGAGAAAATAAGTCTTAATACCGTGAGGTTTTCGATTACTTACCAAGATGTTCAGTGACACAGGTGATAATACCTTTTACCAAATGACCATGCTTTTTCCCTACCCATTGCCGTTTCTCATCACATCAATTAGATGTCGTTCAAAAACTTATTGATAAAGCATTAAAATGGCTTTAGAACTTACTAACCAGTTTTGTATGGTTAGGGACTTGAATGGTTATCATGTATCATATATTCGTAATCACTGTAAGATGCTAACATTATGTACACAGAACCAATTGGCAGGAACCTTGTATTGTATTCTGTCCTCACTGGAGCTTGAGACTCGGTCCAGTTGTTCATTTGCTTCGATATTGGTGCTCGGATCCAAACTCTTTACTTATCCTTGAGGTGGTTCTTTGCATCTATGTTTATCAGTACATCTTTATTATTTGTTTATGGCTGGATACTAAACTTAATATGACCTTCAGAGAATGCTTTCGAGTGATGGAAAAAAATTATGTGAATTTTGCAGGGTGGTGTTGATGCTAACTTAGCACTCTTGCCTTTCAAGCCAATGGAAATGAAGGTTCTTCAGTGTTCCTTTCTGTCTGGAATAAGGTAATCTCTCTCTCTCTCTCTCTCTCTCTAGAGGATGCACACAAAAATAGTTTGCGTAAAGAACTTTGAGCTCGAGGAAAGCCTTTTAAAATATTCGTCTCACGCGATCCTTTTGGATTGAGATGAGAGAACTCAAATTATATGTTGAACGGAAGCTTGCACTTGACAAAGTGGCAATTTAGTGGGCAATATTCTCGTATTTTAGGCTATGCAAGACTATCTGAACCTATCTTGGAGAAAATGACTAAAGTGTGAAATTTGGTTTATATATATGTATGTATTGCATAATAGAATTCGATCGATGCTGATTTTTTCATTTTGTACTCTGTCAAGTAAATGAAGTATTTTTTCGAACATCAGTGAGGATATCCTTTTCGCAAATTCCTCTAGCTTGCCTGACGTTTGATGACACCGAATTTATGCATTTTTACTACAAATTGTTTGTTTCTTTTTGCGAAAAAAATGAAAGAAAAAGAGAGTTTGTCTCGTATTTAGATACTATTGCATAAATGTTTCTTTTTTCTTCCTGCAGTTTGCGGAAAGTTCAACCCTTACTAAAGGCATTGCAGCCAAAATTACTTCTGGTAATCTATGTTACTTTTATTGTATTTGTTTCTTCCACTTGTGTAGGGTTTTTATTTATCGAACTGCACTTTGTGCTCACTTTTAAGACAGATTCCAAAGGAATTGAGGTGCAAGATCGAAATTTCAGAAGCAAACACGATTTTTCGATACGCTGAAAATGAAACATTATGTATACCAAGCTCGAAGGAGAGCACGGAAATTCATATAGCAACAGATTTGGCTTCCAAGTTCTGCTGGAAAACGTTGAAGCAGGAAAAAATCACGAGGCTGGACGGAGAGCTTTTCATGGACCAGGGAAAACGTCGGTTACTTTCTGGCTTCCAACCGGCAGACTCCAAGCAACAAAGACCGTTGTTACACTGGGGTTCACCGGATTTGAAAGGTCTTCTGACTGAGCTGTCCAAGATGGGCATTACTGGAACCGTAAAGAAAGTCATTGATGATGCTGAACCTGAAAGTGCTGCCGGCATTATAGACGTCGTTGGTCCCGAGAAAGCCTTGATCGACGTTCGAGAGACTGGTACTGTTATCATTGCTGCTAATGAGAATTTAGCCTCTAATATTTCCGAAGCTATAGATATCGTTTTGGATGGTCTTTGAATGAAATGTTTCTCTAATATCATTTATTCATCCATGTAGATGTTTAAGCCACACTGGCATCGGCATGAGATTTTTTTTTTTTTTGAAAGAAAGTGGGGCCTCGTTAAAACCTCCTCATAATCAACATAAAGTGTCTGTTTGTTTGCCGTAAAATGAATTACAAAATTAATTTTTCTCAAAATCTCGTGTTTGTTTTACATAAAACGTTTTTCGTAAAATGTTTCCAGTGTTGATTGGAGAAAAATTGATTGGTCAACGTAAAACATTTTCCTGGTCAACAGAATTTCCTGTGTTTTTTGGAAAATGACTTACGGTCTGATTTTCCGTAAGTTATTTTTCAAATTTTCATTTCAAAGAATAAATACTCAAAATAATTTTATTTTATGAATTTAATATTAATAAAATATTTGAATATCATTTTAATCAAAATATTAATTATTAAAATATTTAAAATATATTTATTAATATTTAATATTATAATAAAATAATAAATTATATTATAATAATATAAGATATTATATTTTTATTTTAATAATATATAATAAATTATTAATAAATTTATATTATTTATTAATTTAATAGAAATAGTATTATTAAATTATTAATAATGAATAATATTATTTATATATTTAATATTAATATAATAATCCAATAATATTTTAGTAAAGATATTTAAAATATACTAATTAATATTTTTAAAATATAATATAATACTATTACTTTAATAAATAATTAATATAATTTATAATATTTTTATTTCAATAAAATATATTAATATTTTTATTAATAAGATTATAAAAGTAAATAAATTATTTTAATATTTTAAAAATAATGATATTAAATTTTATGATAAATAATATTATTTATTGTATATAATATTTGTAATAAATAATTTTTAAAAAGCTCATCAACTAGTGAAAAAAATGTTTAAACAACATATTCCAAACATTGTAAAATATTTTGCATAAAATGTTTTTCAGAAAAATGTAATTCATTTTACGGAAATTATTTTACAAAAACGTTTTTTAAAAATATAATTTATTTTCAAAAAACCAATTACAACGAAATAAACACACTAAACCGGAGTTCAATATCGAAAAGCGAAGGACGAACTAGAAAATAAACATAAAATATGACGAGTATATTATTTTTTGAATATATATAAAGAAAAAACTAATTCACGATCAAATATGTTAACATGTAATTAGTATGATCAAAACGGATTTCCAAGTCCCAAGACTTTTTCTTTAGAGAAAAACCTCGGAATGGCTGAATTTACGTAACCATATTTCATCCAAAAATATCATTTCCACTTATAAAATACACACTCATCCACTCATGCATGGCTTCACCTCTTTTTCTCGAAATCCATATTTTCATTCAAAATCCGTGCGTCCTTTCCCTCTAACCCTTTTTTATTGAGTATTTTTTATGTTGATTGTATTTCACAATGATTTATTCGAATTGTATTCATCGTAATTATACATGAACACTCTTAAAGTAATATTTTTAAAAGAATTTTGAGATTAACATGTGATCTATGATGATGGGTATTTGTCAAAAATTCATTTTTTAATGTTTTTGTTGGTTTTATGTTATATATCAGATTATGGCTATTCATAAGAAAATAAAAATGAACTAATGCAAGCTTTTATGATTGTTAAGGCTTTAAATTGTTTGTTTAGTTTGATGTTGATACTAACCCAATTTCTTTTTATGCACTTTAACTCTTTATTTTGGGACAATTATCAGTTAATTTTCATTGTATTTAAAGTTCACTAATTTGTTTGGTCGGTTCAGTTCTTGCAGGGTTTAGTTTGATGCTTTGATTGATAAAGAAAAAAAGATTATGGCTGCCAAAATTTTATTAATATTTCTCTGTGTGAACGTGATATCTTTTTTAGTGGTAAAAAGAAAACCTCCAACTTTGTCAATTCTTATCCTTTATGATGATGTTAATATGTTTTCTTTAAGTATTATGTTGGTTTTTTCCTTGGAATTGGATTGTTTCTTCCATTCAGAATGCTTCATCACGTCCGCATATGTGCGCTGTCGAATCCGGTGGAAAATGTTCTGAATCTGGTGAATGGAAAGGGGAATTTTTCCCTGGAATTCCCAAAATTACATATGAGGTAAAATGTGTACTGAATCACTATTCACGGAAGATTTCATTAGAATTCCCGGAACATGTTTGCTGTTGCCTTTGAGTAATTTTTTTTTTGGATAAGACCTTTGAGTAATTTATACAAACACTTGATATTCGACATCTATTTTGGTTTGCAGGGTCCTCGTAGCCGGAATCGACTTGCATACAAATGGTATAATGCAGAAGAGGTGATCTTTGGGAGGAAAATGAAGGTCAGTTTCCATTTTATATGAGATTTTCCGATATGTCAACGACTTCTGACTAGTGATTGGTACAATTTCGGGACTGGTTGAGATTCAGTGTTGCATTTTGGCATACGTTTCGTGGAACTGGTGGTGATCCTTTCGGGGCACCCACGAAATATTGGCCTTGGGAAGATGGTACCAATTCCGTTGCTATGGCCAAAAGAAGAAGTAAGATTGAATGTTAATTGTCAACCTACCTTTCAATCATTGATTAATACTAATATGCAAACATGTTGCTCTGTTCAATCATTTTCGAAACAACTGCACACAGTGAGAGCCAACTTCGAATTCATAAACAAGCTCGGCATTGATCGGTGGTGTTTCCATGACCGAGACATTGCTCCTGAGGGCAAAACAATCCAGGTCGGATTGTTTATATATTTGAATGCTTAGAAATAAAGTTTATGGTGTATGAACCGATTTTATCTTTATTGTGTTTGTTTGTAGGAAACTAACTCAAACTTGGATGAAGTGGTGAAACTTGCTAAAGAACTTCAGGTAAATGGCTCATTAAGGATTCATGTGTCAGTATCTTCTACTCGTGTCCTAGGAGCTAGATTTGCCTTTTGTTATCTTTTCTAGTATGAACAATTATGCTTGCTTGTTGAGCTTCAACATTACTAATTAATTTGTTTCCAAACATCTCTTTTACTTGCACATCTATGCAGGGAGACAACATCCGTCCATTGTGGGGTACGGCTCAACTATTTATGCATCCTCGTTACATGCATGGTGGTTGTACGAGGTATACATCTATGTTGTTTTGATTTATTTTTGGTCTAATATCGTGTGTTCAGCACATGACCGAGACCTTCTAAGTATCCGCCAAATACATGGGATAAAACATCTATGGATACAAACCCATATCTGTGTAGTATTGGTATCCTTAATCAGTGATCAATTTTTTCATTGATTAACTTATTACTTCTGTGTTTGTTTTGCAGCTCTGAATTGGGTGTATATGTATATGCTGCAACTCAAGTCAAGAAAGCCATGGAGGTGAATGTTCAATCATTTTACAACAACAAAAGTGAACTTTTGTGTGTTCTTTTTCCATTTAATTTACTGCAACTTTTGAGAGATGCATTGGTCTTTGTTTCTGTTAATTGTTTTCTATGCTGCTATGCTCATGCTGTAGGTGACACACTATCTAGGGGGAGAAAACTATGTGTTTTGGGGTGGTCGTGAAGGTTATCAAACACTTTTGAACACAGACATGGAATTTGAACTTGATCATATGGTATGGTTTAGGATTTCTTATTATTTTGTTCGTCATATGGTATGGGTGTCAGATATAAGTATACGTCCAACACGGTTATACTCGATTTTTTCAAAGTTTTTCCCCCTTCAACCTGACAACTTTTTCCAACTTAGCCCCTAATTTTTTTGTCCATGTCAATCCCTAAATTTGGATTTTTATCATTTTGATGAGATGGCACACTAAGGTTGTGCCACATGTAATAATCTCAGCGTGTCATGCCATCAAAAGGACCAAAATGGAAAATTTGTCAAGTTTAGGGATTAATGTGGACTAAAAATGTTTATGACAATGTTAGGAAAAGTTGTCAAGTTCAAGGACTAACAAGTTCTCCTTTATCCTTAAGTCTTTCCATTGATCTGGAAAATCATATCCTAATCCCATGTCCGAACATGTATCGTGTCAAATACAAATACTTTTTAAAAATATATAATCTCGAAGCAACAAAATCCGACGCAGTTCTTTAGTTGTCATCAAACTGAACTGTTGTTATTTTGACAGGCAAAATTTCTAGAGGCTGCGGTTGCCTACAAGAAGAAAATTGGATTCAAAGGTAAGTATCCATTATGATAATCTAAAACACTGCTTGCTAACTTCGAGTGTGAATGTCAAATACAGGTATGCATACTATACTTAATATGTGAATATGTGTCGGATCGTTTTTATTTATATTTACTGAAATTCTGATGGAACATACTTTTGATCCAGGAACTCTATTGATTGAACCTAAGCCTCAAGAGCCTACCAAACATCAGTACGTTTCAAAGAACCCTTTGTGTTTGTGTTGGTTATAACTTATATCAATCAAATCCCATTTGAGTATATGAATTATGGCTTAATTTTTTTTCCAGGTATGACTGGGATGCTGCAACAACAATGAACTTCTTGCAAAGACACGGGCTAGTTGGTAAGCTCTAATTAATTCTCATTTCATCTCTCAAGTTTCCTATCAAATGATTTTTGATAACTCTAAAAGAAAAGTCTCTATGGGCCAGGCCGATTTGGACTTGAGCCGTGTATTGTCTTATTATTATACATAGTTGCTCAAATCTGGTCTGATCCAAATATCGAGCAAGCCTTGAATTGGGGCGAGCAGTCCTGGCCTTGGACAAATTTACTTTCATATTTTCATAATAATAGACTCAACTTTCGGAGTTTTTGCATCTATTCACCATTTACTTTTTCAGGGGAATTCAAACTTAACATTGAATGCAACCATGCCACACTCTCTGGTCACAGGTTTCTGATATTTCCATATGTTAATTTTTTTTATTGTTCTTATTATTTCAAAGAAGAGATGTTCATGAGCTGGGCCACAAGGCGAAACCTTTTGAAGCTTTTTATCCAAGCTCAGTTCAAAACCGAACCTGTCTGTAATCTTTTGTTACTATACTAATAATTTAGACCTCATTAATCCGAATTATAGATCACCTTGTGAAAGGCCCAGCTTGGACGGCTAACTCAACCTTCAGTAAAATAACCGACGATTGCATGCATGTAAGTTCTTTTGACAATCTGTGGTGCTTGTGTATTTCGCAGCTGCCATCATGATGTTGAGACTGCAAGAATCAATGGATTGCTAGGAAATATTGATGCAAACTCCGGTGATCCTCAGACCGGTATTATTGATTAACCAAAACCATTCTATTCTCATCTATGTTACTCGGATTCAGGTGTGAGAATTATATATGATATATTTCCAACACTGATATGTTTAATTTCCTTGGATCGGACAAGAGTGTCACACAAGTACTTCAATAAAATTGAAAAGTCAAAGCAACATAGATTGTTTAAAAAATTCTTCTCTGTTTTAAACTTGGAATTAAAATCCTCTTAAGAGTTGAAGATCAGGATTTGTTTGTGATACAGGTTGGGATACAGATCAGTTCTTGACAGATATTGGAGAGGCAACTATGATTATGTTGAGTGTGATAAAAAATGTATGTGGTAGATTCTTTTCAATACATTTCTTATAGTTCATTGAGGTCTTTTATTTTATTTTTTTATATAAGACCTTTCGGTATCAATAATTATATTGGGTTCGACTATTTCAGAGTCAAGCCAAGCCTTGGGGGAAAGCTCTCCCAGCATTTTTTTTCCATTCACAATGCTCGAAACCGAACTTTTTATCACTCTGTCTAACAGGTTTTGGTTATGACAGGGAGGATTAGAACCAGGAGGCTTAAACTTTGATGCAAAATTGTGAGTGCCAACTTTCCCTTGTTATTTTCTTGGAGATGTGTTGTGTCCTATATTATTCATACTCGTCATTTTGTTAAAAAAAATCGTATTCGGTCTCTGTGTCTGCTACATATCTACGTATCGGTACGTGGATATGATTTTGTATGGATCCTCCAATTACACAGAAAACCTTAGAGGGATTTATGCATACCCTTTTCCTACACATTCTTGTATCCTATGTTACTTGGACTTGGGTCTAACTGTTGGATACGAGTATGTATTTGACCCAGGCATGATTTTTCTAAGTTCTTCCATGAATTTGGACAATCCTTGGATGTCATGTCGTCACACTTATGTGTCGGAAATGAATGCTTTTAATAGACGGAAGAGTTTGAGCAATGTAACCTGCATTTGACTCGTGTACGAATCCAACCCTTGTTTCTTTATCTATGGTTTTGTAGACGGAGAGAGAGCACAGATGTTGAAGACATGTTCATTGCTCATATTGTTGGAATGGACACCTTAGCCCGTGGACTCCGAAATGCTGCCAAGTTGATCGAGGTAATAGAACACAACACGAAAAGAACAGTTAAAACACAACACAAAATACTAAGTCCTATATAAAATGAATGCATGAAACATGATTATAACACAACATCGATACACAAATTCCCGGATAGTGTTATAATTTTTCTCCTCGTGACTATAGGATGGTTCTTTGTCCGAGCTTATTCATATGCGGTATGCGAGCTTTGATAATGAACTTGGTGCCCTCATTGAGGTGACGTATTCTTCTTTTTGGCTTTGGTAATAACCTTATTGGCCCAAAATTAAGGCACTTCAATGGGTTAATGAAAATATATCTTACAGGCCGGTAAAGCTAATTTTGAAATGCTTGAGAAGAAAGCAATTGAATGGGGTGAGCCCAAGGTGGCTTCAGCCAAGCAGGTAGTAGATAGATACAATGCTTTTTCGTAATCTTTATGTTTACGTTACTCGGATTAAGTTTTGAGAGTCAGATACGAGTATACGAACAACATAGGTATTTCAAGAAAAAGTTTAGGGTATGAACATTAAGTTTGTATGCTTATTTAACTTCATGATTGACTTTGATGACATGTCTCTCAAATATTAGGGTGGAATTTGGGGTTCAGGTTTGAGCATCGATTTTGATATATCTATTTATCTATCTATCTATCTATATATATATAGGGAGTCGGGTATGAGTATCTTAAGAAAAAATGAAGAATCGGAACAACGTAAGTTTATATGCTTATATAACTTTATGATAAGCTTGTGATGACCACATCTCCCAAATATTAAGGTTGGATATGAGTTTGGGTTTATTTTAGAATCAAGTTTCTTCTTATTTCTTAAATACTCTTTCGTTTCTATCTATGTTAACCTACTCTATATGTGAGCATCGATACTGAATATTTATCTGGCATGGGGTTTGGATTGTTATATCTCTATATCTCTGTCATAAAATGAAGAATCGAAGTAACATGATTTTGTGTTACTTTATCTAGTAAAATATATTTTAGTTATGTGTTTTTCCCTTGATCTTTCTTCATTTACAAACTCTGTAGACATGAATAGTACATAATGCACTATGAGTCGAATCAAATCGAATCTGAAACAATGCTTTGTTTATTTTTCTGTTGTTGCAGGAACTTGCAGAGATGATTTTCCAATCTTTTCTATAGGAAGACCTTGATTAGCATTATGGTCAAAGTGTTTGGTCTTTTTGCCAATTTTGTATTAGGAATAATCTTTTTGATTTTTTATCAATAAAAGGCAATCTATATTTTCATCGACTCTTTTCGAATATCGTGTTTAAAGTATAGAATACAAGAATTTTCGCCAACTTATCTCGAATATTGTGTTTGTTTCTAAATATCATGCCGGATACTTTCAAGTCGTTTCATAATTTGTTTTGGTACATTGCATTATCTAACGAAGAGCGTTGACAATCGTTCACCGTTGAGAACTGTCGTTGGATGTCCCTTCATTGATGATGAATGCTTACTCTACAGTGTCAATGTCACTAGGGCTTGATGTGAACTGTATGACGGCTGCGTAGGAGCATGTGTCGTTTCCCTAACGTCTCATTTGTCATGGAGTCATTAGACATGTTTAGTAGGATATACGCATCACGACTTAACTTTCGGGACCTTTTTTTATGTAGGATTAATGTCTGACATTTTAAGACATGGCATTATTCTGACTCTTTCTTTCCTTAGGCACACATATCTAATATATGGGTACAGACGGGCATATGAGTCCTCAAATATATGGTAAAGGCTTTTAAAATTTTGAATATATTCGTGTTAGATACATATCCGTACCCAATGCGTAAACTGGGCAAAACAAGTACATATGGTACATGAACCCCAAGAACAATTTGGCAACCTTGACTGTAAAACCTTCTCCATCTTCAGTTCAGAAGTTGTCAAAGGCAGCTTTGAGGATATGAGCACATCGCCGATAATTTGTAGCCGCTTCTACGTATCGGAATCTTACAAACAATATCCTGCAATACCCGTGGATTGTCCGACATCCATTTGGGGAATTTAATCCCCGGCTGTTTCTTTCTCGTTAAGATTTTTCCCCTAGCAAGACCAATTCTTTAAACAGGTCAGTTGAGGCTGCTGCAAAAAGAACAATCGGAGAATTGGAGCGGCACCAGCAAGTGCAAGCACTGCTTGCTGTTTGGAAACAACAGTAATTTACTTATCTTGTTTAACACAGATCACTCTGTCATTAAAAAATATGCCCAGGAAAATTAAACTTCAGCATGCTGTGGAAACTAGTATATATTACAAATTAACGCTCCGAACGTTTCGGCTGAGGGGGAAGGTAAATATGTTTAGAAAAGAAGAATCATGGAGCATCCCCGAATTTAATGGTTATTGATGTCCATGGCTCTCGAAAGTGTCAAACAATTGATAAATGATTTGGTACATCTCGATGAGAGAACATGGAAAGATAACCTATGACAGTGGGGAAAAGTACTATCGAATACGATGATCGCAACGGGAAACTAGAAACGAAAAACCTAAGACCGGGATGCCTTTAAGCCGAACTCATTCACCGAAATCACCAGTGTCTCCCTTGAGAACCGCCTCCCTTGTTCTTCGCATAGAAGGCATTCTTGGGTTTCGGTAGCTCGTGAATGTCCATCACTTGTATGGTTCTTTGCTTTTTGGCTTCAAAAAGCATATGAAAACCAAAAATAATCACGTTTAGAACAAGCCGGAAGTGAGGGATTCGAGATTTAAATAAAATGCGGAAGAGAAGAAAAAGCAACCGTTTTCGGCTTCTTTGTAGCTTTCTTGAAGCCTTTTTCTAGCCGAAGCCAACCTTTCCGAGTCAAAATTGTTTTCCTTTTGATCTCTCTGCCTCTATGAAATCCCAAGAATGCGATTAGGCAAATAGACATGACAAAAGCTTATACCCTAAATCAAACAATCAAATTGAATCATTTGTGGCATAAACTATTCGATCATAACAAATACGAATTCTCGTTCCGTGAAAGCCACAAGCCTTGGAAGTTTCGGAATCAATCAAAATGCCGGTTTTGCAGAAAACAATGATGCAACTACTGCTTTAATATGGCATGTACTTGTAAGTCGTACCTGTACATTTTGTGGAGGAGTCAAGTGACTAGGTCTCAGAGGAGGATCCTTTCGTTGAGAAGAGATTGGCTTTGGCTTCGGCTTCCTTTCAGGCTCTGAATAATTCTTTTCCGAACCAGAACCACCATCTATCAATTATAATCAGAAAAGCATTAGAAGGAAGGCTGATTATAATGCACATAAAGAAAGAAACAAATATCGAATCAGATTCGATCCTCACTGTGCGGATTCGGAGAGTAAGTGAAATCGGGAACCTATAACAGAAGAATCTTAGAATCACAAAACAAAAGAGAATTGTCTAACAACTTCCACATTAGAAACCGGAATTCCGATCACCTGTTGACGACCATTTTGAGGAAGCTTTCGCTGTGGTGAATCTCCATCTGTTATCAGACAACATTCAATTCTCCACTAAATTCGGGTAACATTTTCTCAGGAAACAATCTTCATATTACAGTTTAATAGATACAAGTTTTACCCATAAGTGCAGCTGGTTCAGGCTCTCCAGGTTGATTCACCCTAACCCATTCATCCACAATTTCTTTCCATTTTCTAGAGAAACAAACAACAAAAATCATATCAAAAAAGACTCTTTGAACATCATGAACATATTGAATTTCCAGAAGCTTATTAACCAAACCTGACAAGCTGTTTCACTAATCTCTTAACATCATTGGATGAATGCTTCCTTAATTTGTTCACATGTCTTCCAATATCAGTCTCCTATACATAAAACCATATCATGAAAAAAATCAAAATTAAACCCCAAAAAAGAGAAAATTGGACCACAATTAATACCTTGAGAGCTTGAAATGTTATATCCATATCTGCCAAAGTTTGAAGCAAATCAACCAAGGTATCTTCTGACTGCAACAAAAATAAACCAAATTCAAATCAAAATCCATAAAAATAAACCAACAATACAATCTGCATATATGTATATATATATATATAATTGAAAGACCTGATTAGGTAGTTCAAGACGCTCTTTAATCCCAATAACCCTTTTTTGTTCATCATCAAACAAGCCACCATAAGGGTCAAAATCATCAGCTTCATTATCAGATTGAGGTGAAAAAGGTGACCCTTTAACCCTTTCTCCTGCTTTACCTTCTTCATGGGGATTTGAATTGGATTCATCATTGTTACTGTTTACTTGAAATCCATTTGATCTTTCACCAAAATCACAGCTTTTACACTTGGTAACCATGGAAGTAGCATAAAGCCTCTCAACAATCCCATCTCTCCTTTGCTTCAACTCTTCACCATGATCCAAAGAAGCTACCAGGATCGCTGTATCAATGAAAGTCCATACATCAACGCCTGCTGTTTCCAGCACTGTTCTGAAATCATCCAAATCCATTGCACAATCCAAAAAAGAGGGGAATTAAAAAAATGGATTTTTTTTTATTGCAAACTCAGAGGCCTGTTTCCAGGTGTCAAATCAAGATTGGAACTTTAACATGATCAGATCTGATTGAAAACAAAATGAACCAAAGCTTGAATTTTTTTTTTTTTTTTGCAAAAATTTCCCCCAAGAGAAAAGACAAGAAATCTCTTTGAAGTCGAAGAGGAATTTGGAATTGGGGTGTTGGTTTTTGAAGAAAGTTGATGGTTTTGATTTTGCTAATGGTAATGGATTTTATTTTTTATTTTTTTGCGGTGGAATACACCTAATTGGAACTTAACTTCTTTTGTTTATTTATTAACTATTAAGAATGGGATTTTTCTCTTAATTAAATTAGATTATTTGAGTATACTATTAAGAATGGGATTTTATTATTATAAAACTTTTAATTAAATTCATTGTCCTCGATAAATTAAAACAATGCAAAATTAAATAAAATAGTACTATATTATATAATAAGATAATCATATTATTATATATTTATAAAAGGATTCATAAAGCTAAAATATTATATTAAACTAAAATGTCTTCGACCTCTAATGCTTTATTCAAATAAATCTTATATTTTTATATTTAAAATATTTAAACACTTTCATTAAAAAAACATTTAATCGTTTTTCGTCAATATGAATCTATTATTAATTTTTTAAATATTTTTAATCAAAATATAATAATATTTGTTATATATATTTTTAATATTCCTTGAACCTAAAGCAATAAAATATAAATTTGGAAATCATAAGAAATAAAATGGTCCTTTATATACTTGCTTATTATATGATATGCTAGGACTTGTGGATATCTATTCGAATTGTTTTAAACATGACTAAATATGTGTATGATTGATTAGAACGGCGTACGATGTTTTCAAACAATGTGTGTATATGTTTGAGATAAAAAATGTTTGTATATATATGTGATAAAAGTGTACGACATGTGTAGTGATGATCATATGAATATGCTTAATTTTTCATTATGTTTTATACGTTACATGTATAATTGTGTTTAATATATGATAGGTCGATAGTTATTATATGATATTTGAGTTAAATGATACATTTCAAACACTCTCGACGTTAAAAACATGATTGTGTGCCTATATGATAGGACTGAAATATGAATTTTATACTAAAGTGACTATGTGTATAAGTTTGACAAGCTTGTATGCCTAAATGAATAATATAAGATTATAAAAAACTTTAAAGAGATTATGTTATAAAAACGATTGAATATGTTTGTCGTACCTTATGATCTAAATGACATGAGTATGATTAAATGATAAAATATATCATCATTGTGCTTGTGCTTAAAGCAGGGCGAACTTTCTTGAAGATGAGCCTTGTCCCTCGTCAAATATTTTTAAGTATTAATTAATTTTTAAAAAAATAATAAAGAAAAATTTATCAGACCCCTCAATTAAAAAAATTGTATTTATGAAAAATAAAAAAATATTTTAACCCCTTTTATAATAAATTTATAGTTCCACCTATGCTTAAAAGTATACATAATGTATTTAAATACTAAAATTATTATTTATAACAATTTAATATATATATATATATGACGATTTCTAAGTTTTTTTAATAGTTTAGGATAATTATAACGTTTATATGTTCATAATTTTTCTTAACTATTGACAAAGCATACATACTCTGTAGACTTACTTGAATATAAAACCTCTCAAGGAGAATAATATTTCCTTTAACCAATAAGACTAGACGATTTTAAAGTTAAAATAACAATCAGGTATTTAAGGTAATTTCATAGGCTAAATAGGTACATAAGACAAACTCATAGGACAAAATACGCATTAATCCTAATAATAATAATGACAACTTGACACATACGTGTATGTTTCAAAATTCAGTGTATGTTGTGTCTGTTCTGGAATCCTTAACAATATTTATATGCAATAAAAAAATCAATCTATCTTACAATATAATAATTGAATTATTAAACAATGAATGATACTTGAAAAAAAAAATAACATTTCTTCTTATAAAACATTCCATTAGGGTTTGATAATGAAAACTTTATTAAAATGTATCCATCATATAATTTGGATTCACTGATTGAGACAATTAGAGTGGTTGACTCTTAATTAAGAAATTATGTTAAAAATGTAGGAATATAAAATTATAAAATTTTAGGAATAAAAAATTAGATAATCAATATAAAATATTAAAAAAAACTAATATGAAAATATAATTTTTTTTAGGTCCACTGCATTCAGCTGCCAAGGGATTGGTTCATGATGATTTCATTTGCCGCTGCTTTTTTCTTATATCTATCCATTCACCATCTTCAACTGCTGCATCATAATCAAACATGGTTAAACTCAAAGTCCTTGTCGTTTGTATTCTGATCGTCGCCGTGGATGTCGCCGCGGGGATTCTAGGCATCCAAGCCGAAGCTGCACAGAACAAGGTGTTTTATTCAAAAACCATTGATTTCATCAGGCTTTATCTTCTTTTTTCACCATGATTGCTGTTTTGTTTATAACAGGCCATTAAGCACTTGAGACTGGGGATATTGGATTGCAGATACAGATTATGGATGTTTAAGTGCAGGGACCCGAGGCGTGAGGCTATCAAGCTAGCTTTGGGTGCGGCAATGCTGTTGAGCCTTGCACACGTTGTCACTAACCTGCTCGGTGGGTGCATGCATGCCCGTTGTCGAGGAGAGTCCGAAGAGCCTACTCTAACAGTAAACTTCCATTGGCATGTCAAACTGGTAATTAAGCATTGGCATGTTCGTTTTCACATCGATATTTTATCGGATATCAAACGATACAAAAATTATATATTATTGTTGTACCTCCGTGAGCGATAGATCGAGAGATGGTTGGGGCAATCGTCCATGAAAACTTTAAATTATTATATATTAGATATTTTCTTTATATTTTGTATTGATAATCCGTTTTCATCTTCTAAATTTTATAAGTTCGTCCCTCTTAAAATTTTAAAGTTCACCCTAATATAAAATCTTGTGTTCGTCCCTGACCTCCGCCAAATATTCTTTCCGCATCATCTTCGCTCCTACACCTTAAAACCTCCGAAGAATCTCTACATAGGTAGGATTTCGAAAGAGCACTTCCGGAGAAATAACCTCGAACACCTAATATCCTTTGGAAAATCTAGAAGACATGAGAAAAAATTTCTTTAGAAGAAAGATCTTGAATACCTAACATCTCTAGGAAAATCACAATAACTTAACATAACCCCTCACAGGCTCATGTGACCTACCAGAGTCAAATCTACCGCCAATTGACCATATTCATTAGTCTACTAGCCTACGAGTAGCTATTATTACTCTATCTAACGCTGACACTAAGAATCACTATAAAACCTCTTGATCAAGATTGAGAGAAAAGATATATAGATCCTATTACTCTTCTTCTCCACTCAATTCTTCTTTACCTTTTATGAAAACAGAGGATTTAAATATCGACTAATCATTGTTATCTCACCAATTTTTAATTCTCCGTCTATACTAAAAAATGAACCGTCTATAACTATCATAATTCATTTATTCCACTCAACAACTATCATACATCAAATATTCTTCCCTTTACTAGCTCACACTGCAGAAATCAAGCAGTACAGATTTGGGATTGAGATTAGCAAGTAGAACTCATTTGACACATAATTTTGTGGGTTGATCAGGATCATATTAGCCGTTGGATTGTCGATGCTGGTGATAGGGATGTCGTCAAACAAGAAATCCAGGGCGTCCCATGGTTTCAGGCAGCATCATTTCTTGGCCATCGGAGGGATTTTGTGCTTCGTCCATGGGCTGTTTTCTGTTGCGTATTACGTTGCAGCTACTGACAATAAGTAACAAGTGTCATCTTTAGACGACATATATTAATAAACTCATTCTAAATCATAGTGTTCTGTTTAATAATGTTTGATTTGATTTTAATTTAAATATTATTTAAGCATATTCGATTTCTTATGCAAAAACAAATTTATAAAATCATAAACTATCCCAATTCTTTTCCATCCATAAATCAAAAGTTATTACACGCTTAAGCACATTCAAACTCTTAATAACAGTGAGTTAAGACGTTAATCTCTAAACTCATTGTGTGGATTGTTGACGATCATTCAATGAGTATATGTTAAAAGTCTATATCTAATATTTAAAAAATAATACATAATCAGATATCTATTGACTACCTAATATAATATTTTTAGCATATATTTATTAAGTGATTGAAGATAAAATCCACACGTGTTGTTACTACGATTGAATCCGACTCATGCTTGCTTGTACTTAGTTTTCAATATTAAGTATTTTATTTTATTTTGATGTAATTTCATCCAATCCACTTATTGAAAAATACTCACTTGAATTTTGGTCGACATTAAACACTCGTCTCTTAATAAATTATTTTTTCCTATAAAAATAGTAAATAGTTCCTCGATTAACAAGTAGAGGTGATAATTGGGTTAGGTTATTTTGAACTTGGACTATATTCAGTTTAGGTTTAATTTGGGTTTAGATTATTTTGGATTCAAGTTTAGTTTAGGTCGTATCACGTCAAATCAATACCATATCAGTTGATATGTATTCATATCAGTATCACAACTGTCGATTTTTAGTTTAAGTTAATATCGGATTAATCAATTTTCAAATTAGGTTAATATCATATTAGTTGATTTTTTGAATTCGATCAATATCAAATAATTTTAGTTCGGTCAATCTTGGATCTTCATGCCAATTCGGGTTGAGTTGAATATGAGTATAATCATGTATATATATGTATATAATTATTGATATATTATGAACAAATATCTTTTTATTTATCAATCTTATTATTTAAGTTTAATTTCATTAGAATCAATTATCATTTAAGGATGACAATTTAACTTAAACCGACCTATAAGATGTATTAGAGCTTGTGACATTTTTCGTATTGATCTAGTCCTTAAAATTTGTGGTACAATCTATTTGGTGAAAAATCAATTACAAATTCTATTACCAATTAAAAACTTTAATTAGATATTTAATGTTTAATTATAAATAGAACATTTTTTATTGAATTTAGGAAAGAATAATATAATAATTATGTTTGAATAAATATTAGTTTAAATAGCCTTATAAATGATAGTATACATTCAATAATATTTTAATTTTAAATTATAAATAAAATAAATTAATTAATTCAAATAATCTAGTT